TTTAAATAAGACAATCGAGATAAGATTTCTGCGAGAAATCTTGACCAAAATATACAGGGGACAAGCAGAAGGCTGCAGATGTCACCAGTGTCACTGAGAAGCATTCCTGGCAAGATGCTGGTGAAAGTATCCGGAGGAGAGTAATGGGAACACTTGGAGAGAATGAACTGACTTACGTATGAACAGGATGAATGTACAGGGGAGAGGTCAAGCCTGATAAAACTTCAGAGAAAAAACAGAGAACATATACGGCATACATTGACGAGATAAAGCACCTAAATTATTGGGATCGTCTCAGAGTTCTCCAAATGTACTCACTAGAAAGGAGACGAGAGAGATACCAAATAATATACACGTGAAAAATACTGGAGGACCAGGTCCCTAATCTACACAGTAAAATAACAACGTACTTGAGTGAACGATATGGAAGAAAATGCAGAATAGAACCAGTGAAGAGCAGGGGTTACCTTGAGGTGCTTCCGGGGCTTAGCGTCCCCGCGGCCCGGTCGTCGACCAGGCCTTCTGGTTGCTGAACTGGTCAACCAGACTGTTGGACGCGGCTGCTCGCAGCCTGACGTACGAATCACAGCCTGGTTGATCAGGTATTCTTTGGAGGTGCTTATCCAGTTCTCTTTTGAACACTGTGCCATAGGCAGAATCTGAGAACACTGTATAAACATCAGAGGTCCGCGGTTGTTCAACACCCTCCCAGCGAGCATAAGAAATATTGCCGGAACAACCGTAGACATCTTCAAGAAGGGAAGGGAACTTTCAGGAGAAAGCGTCTAGCCATTACGATTATATAGCACTGGGAAGGGGACAGGATAAGGATTTGGGATGGGACGGGCGGAAGGAATAGTGCCCAATGGTGAAGGAATTGTGGGATGGTGTCTGTGTGGGAGGGTGGTTTTGTATGGGTTGGGTGGGGGGGGGGAGGAGGACGGTGTATGGGTGTAGTGGTGTGGGAGAGTGGGTGGGGTGGTGTTGTGTGGGGTGGGGAGGGGTGCCTGTGTGGGTGGGTGAGGGGGGGTAAGGGAGTGGGGTGAGGATGTGCTTGCATTACACAGGCAACAAGGACGCGGGCTCAATATTCACAGCCTACTACTACCTTTCTTGCACCATTGGCTTATTATCTTAACTCTCCTGACGTTGGAAATAGTTAAAGAATCTGTCGGTAAGGTTGTGACTGCGGGCAGCACCCTCGCCTGGCCTCGCTCTGCTCCACATGTTGGCCAACCCTTTACGAGACCAGTATTTTTTTTTTTTTACATATCTTTGATTTCCTGCTTTTTCAGCTTCCACCTTTCCCAATTTAAAATCTGCCCTTGCCCGTCTTCTCAATTGTCCTTAATATCTTGCACCTGGATTGTATTGTACCTGGATGATGGGGTTCCTGGAGTTCTACTCCCCAAGCGCGGCCTGGGGCCAGGCTTGACTTGTGAGAGTTTGGTCCACCAGCAGTCTCACCCCGCCTCGTGTCGAGCCTTCCTCTCCTCTCTAGTCTTCCCCACCCTATACATACATGTACTGTGTGGCTTTTTGTGTCGGGCCGGAGGGCGGGAGTGTGGAGCCTAGCAACACGGGTGAACACAGCCCCGGCTGACACCAGTGTCCGCTGCCACACTGGCTGGTCTGACGCCCTCTCCCCCTCGTCATGCTGGTGGTGCTCCTCCCTCCTCTCTCACACTCCTCCCTCCTCTCTCACACTCCTTTCTTTTTTGTTTTAAACTAAGACTATGGTTCATAAGGGCTGTCAAATGACGTACCTAGTGAAGCTGCAAACAAGAATGTACTTTGAAACTATCACATAGGGAATTATATCATAAAGGAACCTGGTGAAACTGCAAGCAAGAGCTGTAATCCTGCCTCAACTCAGTTGAAACCTACTCCTAGAGGCCCATTTAATTCATGAGCCTGTTATATGCGTCAGTAGGAATAGCCTTTATTCATAAACAATATTAGGTAACAATAATATAAGGAAGAGGACGAGCCCATAGCTAGCTGCGTGCCAGAGCCTTCATGTGATCAGTTGACCACATCTCCCGTGTATCAACCCGGTGAGCGAACAACCTCCAGATCCTAGTCAGCCTAGGAATGAATGAACGCTGATGGAGTGATGTTCTTGAGAAAGGCACTGCCAGCATGAGACTATCGAAGGTTGAGAGCCTAGTGCTACGGGGGCAACTACTGGTAGTCCACGGAGTTGGGCTAGGTAAGGAACTTTGTGGATGTTGGCCTTGTACATAACATTAAGACTATCAACGTCCCGACGGTGTTGCAGGCTCTGATGATAAGGCCGTTCCCACCAGACTTGGTCAAGACTAGAGATGAGCCTTCTTGCACGGTTCTCCATTTTGTCCAACAGTCTGATGAATGATGGAGGGGGGAGGGGGGCAGGCGATCCAGGAAAGGGGTGCATACTCTAGATGGAAGCGAACTTGTGCTTCATATAAGGTTTTGCAGCCCTTGCTGTCAAGAAGGTGTGAGATGCGCCGTAGAGCTGTAAGTTTCCTGTCTGCCTTTTGAGCTAGGTTAAGCGAGTGACTCTTCATTGTCATTAAAAAAGTCGAACTTCATTCCCAGGATGTCAATTTCATCTGTTAACTCTAGGGTTTTGCCACCCGTTTGCAAGCCTGTCCGATTTGCTATGTGCAGTTAAGTTATCATCATCGCTTGTATTTTCTCAGCTGCAAAACGTGACCTGCCATCTCCTACCCCAGGTAGAAGTTGCTCGCTCTAAGTTGGTAGTAGTTTCTTTGTTTGGGCGTGAACCCCCCACTCTTTGACTTCGGACGTGACCCCTTTTGTGGACTCCGGGACCTTCTGGTCCACTCGTGGCAGTAGCCTTGCGGCGCTAGTTTCTTTGCCTTGCGGCTATTTTCCTCGAGCTGTGCCTTGCGGCATTTGTGGGAAATTCGAGTATACCTGGGATATACCTGGGATATAAGCAGCATTTGACCATTCCCCAGGATGCCACCCACAACAGTCGACTAACACCCAGGTTCCTAATCACTGCTGGGTGAACTGAGGCAATGGGTGTAAATGGACTTACCCATACGTCTCGCCCTGCCTGGGATGATTGATGATTGACTGGTGATTTATGATTCTTGCAGCAGTTGGCATTTCTTCCTTTCTGTATGTGAAGGTTAGAGTGCAGTCATCAGTATAGGCTTGAGCTTCAGGAATGAGATGAAGTAGATCGTTGAAATAGATAAATAAACATTCCACAGCAGAGGGCCAAGGACACTACCCTGTGGAACGCTGGCATCAATTGAGGGACTTTCGGATTCTGCTCCATTGAGGACTCACTCCAATTATTCCTTCTCTCTCAACCCCCCCCCCCTCCTCTCTCATACTTCTCTCTCCTCCCTCACACTTTTCCCTCTCACACTTCTCCTTCCTCTCTCACACTTCTGAGGCCAGGCTCGGGCAATAGAAGAAATCCCCTTCCAGGCAATATATATATATATATATATATATATATATATATATATATATATATATATATATATATATATATATATATATATATATATATATATATATAATATATATATAATATGTATTATGGCAAGACAAACGATAGTACTTGCTTCGATGATACTTGTTTATTTATCTATACTTCTGGACCTTGTAGCAACAAGTTTACAAAAGGGAGCAACAATCTGGGTGGAAGTTGAGCGACGACCTCTGAACACGTCGACAGCTCCTCCCTCACACCTGCCACACCTGACCTCTGTTCTATATTGACCAAAACTGAAATTTTTTTTAGGGAGTTTTGTCCTCACAGACGGGCCGAGGGTTTCACTGTTCCAAAGTGCACCACCACTATGACTTCCTGTACGAAAATACACCCCATACATGACTACATGAAAGCACAGTACTACATCCATAACTCTTTGATGAAGGAAGCAACTGCTAGCATTATATATATTTAGTTCATTTACATTTCTTAGCTTTTCTTGCTGCAAGCAATTGACAGTGGAAGTGATAGCGATATTCTGTGCCTCGAATTAAGGAAAGTCATTGATACTGAATCTTAGTAAACAGTGTAAGGATGCATAGTCTTGGACGAGAAAGTCATAGAATTGGACGAGAAAGTCATAGACTTGGACGAGAAACGGTTATCTTAAATTGGATTGGGACCTTATTATTTAAAGGGAAAATGAGGGTTTAACATAAATGGAGTTAAGTCAAAGTGGAAACCGTTGGCAGTGGAGTGCCCCAGGACTCTATCCTCGGACCTCTCTTGTTTGTACTTTATAATGTATGTAAACCATTTAGACTTACCAGTTTTGTTGAACCACTCACGTCTAGTCCACCAACTGGGAGGAACTCATTACAGTAAAACGTTGGTTAGATTCATCATTCATACTTAAAATCATCCGGACTGAACATGAACAATTCTCTTGCCCCTCGTCCTGTTCACATCGTTTGTTCCTACATGAATGATACAAAAACACCAGTGTTACTTGGTGCAGGCTCAGCCTCCTCCACAGCATCTGTGTTGTCGTCAACGCCAGTACCCGCTCAACACATTGCTCACGTCACCCCCAAGATGCTAACACGTCACCTCCAAGACATTAACACGTCACCTCCAAGACATTAACACGTCACCTCCAAGACATTAACACGTCACCTCCAAGACATTAACACGTCACCTCCAAGACATTAACACGTCACCTCCAAGACACTAACACGTCGTAGTAGACTTACTGCCACTAGATTTATCTTACACGTTATTTTCTAACAGCGAGTCCATCGTGTGCTTCCAACAGTTCTTGTTGATATTCGCATCAAAAAAAAATGTTTTTATGTGTAAAATATAATGGAGCACAACTGGAAGATTTTCACTTCACTAGTTGAAGCAAGAATCTTGGATATGTTTTTCTCGTATGAGCTGTAACCATTTTTATATGTGCTTGTATGTGTGTATATATATATGTGTGTGTGTATGTGTGACTTTTTCTTAAATGAGCCAAATATGTTTCTGTTGACAGGGGATTATGGAACTGAAATGGATAAGTGTGTGAGGTAAAATGATGAGATATATTCCCAGAAGAGGCAGCGAGATGTGCCCCTGGAAATAACTTCGGGAGAGATGAAAATATATGAACGTGGAAGTGAGAAGAGACTATGAACAGTGCCTGGAACACCCGCTAGTGACGTGCCTGGAACACCCGCCAGAGACGTGCCTGGAACACCCGCCAGAGACGTGCCTGGAACACCCGCTAGTGACGTGCCTGGAACACCCGCGAGAGACGTGCCTAGGAACACCCGCGAGAGACGTGCCTGGAACACCCGCGAGAGACGTGCCTGGAACACCCGCGAGAGACGTGCCTGGAACACCCGCGAGAGACGTGCCTGGAACACCCGCGAGAGACGTGCCTGGAACACCCGCCAGAGACGTGCCTGGAACACCCGCGAGAGACGTGCCTGGAACACCCGCGAGAGACGTGCCTGGAACACCCGGGAGTGACGCGCCTGGAACACCCGCGAGTGACGTACCTGGAACACCCGCGAGAGACGCGCCTGGAACACCCGCGAGTGACGTGCCTAGAACACCCGCAAGAGACGTGCCTGGAACAGCCGCGAGTGACGTGCCTGGAACACCCGCGAGTCACGTGCCTGGAACACCCGCGAGTCACGTGCCTGGAACACCCGGGAGTGACGCCTGGAACACCCGCGAGAGACGTACCTGGAACACCCGCGAGAGACGTGCCTGGAACACCCGCGAGAGACGTGCCTGGAACACCCGCGAGAGACGTGCCTGGAAACACCCGCGAGTGACGCCTGGAACACCCGCGAAAGACGTGTCTGGAACACCCGCGAGAGACGTGCCTGGAACACCCGCGAGAGACGTGCCTGGAACACCCGCGAGAGACGTGCCTGGAACACCCGCGAGGGACGTGCCTGGAACACACGCGAGAGACGCGCCTGGAACACCCGCGGGAGACGTGCCTGGAACACCCTCCTGAAATCCTGCCTGTAACTTAATCATCACTGCCATAAGAGCCTTTCATACACCAGTATTGTGTTGTATCACTGTATTATTACACTGTATTGTGTTGTATCACCCCGCGAGGTGACCGCGCAGTGTTCGTGTAAGAGGCGTGGATCAAGGGCTCAACATTAGACGCTGAGAACCTCTTCAGCTGCGAAAGTGTCCCGTTATTGTCGTTGTGAACACAGCCTTTAACAGGACAGAAAGTCTAAGGCGCTCCAAGTCTTAGTAATTATTGAGCGTCTCCTATTGTTTAAAGCCACAGAGTAATGTAGTCACAATTATGACTTTTATGCGTCAGTAAATTCACTTAATTGAAGTAACGTTGCAAATAAAGTTTGTTGTATTTTTTTAAATACAATAATTATAAAATTTTAACATTTTAAAATATAAAATAATGGTATGTGACCTAGCAGCATGGTAACGCGTACCTAACTTACGTGTCAAGTTTAGTAACATCTAACTAAATACACAACGCTTGGTAACAAGTCTTTGTTAATGATTTAATCAGCAGCTGTGCTAGAGAGCAGCTGTGTTGCCTTGTTAGACTGTTGGCAAATGTCGTAGTTAGTTGTGGAGAACGTCTCTGGCACAGACCTGCTGCTCCTACAAGTGACCACTCACTCACTACCATCAACTCCAGTATAACCTGAAGCCTCTACCAAGTGCCGCCATCATGTAAAGCGTGCCTTGTCAGTGGGCGGCTCCGTCAAGTGGCACTCGAGCGAGGAGAGCATTCAAGTGCCACATTCAAGTAACCCTTCAAAGGAAATAAGTACTGCAAGTATCCCACGTATAATATACAGGAAAAATTTCCTTGGAAAAATAAAATACCCACCGGATTTAACACCTAAATCACCTAAACTTTTCAGTTTAGCTTATATAAAAAAAGTGCAGAAATACCGCCTTGAAACAACATTTTGGCGCGAGAAAACATTCTTGTGTAAAGCCTTTAAACGATGTTAGGATTTTGTAATGGATGTAAGTAGTGCTTAGCAAAGAAAGGATGAAAAACTTTTGATGGTTAAGACCAATAGATTTCTAGTTTTAAGCCCGAGACGTGAGCGTGTGGTGGTGGTGTGGCTGGAGGGCAGAGTGAAGAGTGCCGGGTGAGGTGTGGCCTTCCCCCTCCCGCCGCCACCCACATGTGTGGCCACACCTGCAGGAGGGTCTCCTAGAGAACCGTTGGCGCCACACCTACAGGCAGAAGAGGAGGCGGTGGTGCCTCTGGACATTGGTCACCATGCTGCTCTTCATGGTCCTCCCGTCCAGGCTCCCCCACTTTGTACACATCTGCCTGCTGCAGGTGTGTTCCACAACCCTGGCCCAGACTCTCTTAACCTCCCCCCCCGGCACACCTGTCTATTTGTTACCTGTCACGTAGCATGTAGCATGTATGTGGATGTTTCAGTTGATGGGTATTTCCTGTTTAGGCTGCAGATATACAAGTGGGTGGGAGAGGAGGGAGGGACGGTGAAAGGAAGGAAGGAAGGAAGGAAGGAAGGAAGGAAGGAAGGAAGGAAGGAAGGGCAAGAAAGTGAGTGTTCGTGAAGCAAATGTTGTCTTGAACTAAACGGAGACTGTGTGTGTGTGTTTGTGTGTGTGTGTGTGTGTGTGTGTGTGTGTGTGTGTGTGTGTGTGTGTGTGTGTGTGTGTACTCACCTAATTGTACTCACCTAATTGTGCTTGCGGGGGTTGAGCTCTGGCTCTTTGGTCCCGCCTCTCAACCGTCAATCAACTGGTGTACAGATTCCTGAGCCTATTGGGCTCTATCATATCTACACTTGAAACTGTGTATGGAGTCAGCCTCCACCACATCACTTCCTAATGCATTCCATTTACTAACTACTCTGACACTGAAAAAGTTCTTTCTAACGTCTCTGTGGCTCATTTGGGTACTCAGCTTCCACCTGTGTCCCCTTGTTCGCGTCCCACCAGTGTTGAATAGTTCATCCTTGTTTACCCGGTCGATTCCCCTGAGGATTTTGTAGGTTGTGATCATGTCCCCCCTTACTCTTCTGTCTTCCAGTGTCGTGAGGTGCATTTCCCGCAGCCTTTCCTCATAACTCATGCCTCTTAACTCATGTGTGTGTGTGTGTGTGTGTGTGTGTGTGTGTGTGTGTGTGCTCCTAGTGACAGCCATAATGCTCGGTCTCCGAGCTTGTGTGTCCTCCATAATGGCTTTCACAGGGGTCGCTGAAGAGCGTCACTCTTGTACTCATGTGTAAATATACGTGTTGATATCATGCAGTGCTTGTTCACTCTAGCAGTGAGTCTGGCTCGTGCCACACACCTCTTCTCTCGTAGCCACACCATATAATGACCTTCGTCGCTGCTATGTATGTATCCACATATATATATATATATATATATATATATATATATATATATATATATATATATATATATATATATATATATATATGTGTGTGTGTGTGTGTGTGTATTTTAATTTTATTTTTAATATTATAAATACATATAGATTTATTATAGAAACATACCTATGTATGTTTTGCATATGTTTTTTTGCAAACATACCTTCCTATGTAATGCTTTTTGTAGTGTGGTAAGATTTGCATTACATGAAGCTGTTTTATTTTCAGTACAGCATAGGCCTACGAGCTCCCTGCTCCGGGGAAATGATTGTGCTGGCCAAATTCATTAATAATTATTGATATACCTGTTACATGTGTGCTTTTTCTGACAGTTACAATTTTCAGGCTTACTTACCCTCTCATACGTCTTGTGATGAGGCAGACGATGTCTCGGGAGGTCCCTGCTCCTTGCTAGTTACCTGGACTCCTCGGTACAGCAACGGTCTCACTTCTTGCAGGTCGCCCTTCGATACCCGCTGGTCCAAGTGGTTGGGCTTCGTTCCTTCCCTCCTGTTCCGCCTCCCATCCTGGCCTCGTGTTCCTGTTACACCGCTTCCTGTTAGTGGGGCCTGTTAGCTTGCTGTAGCCTCATATGTCAATACCTGGAGCATACCTAGAGAGGGTTACGGGAGTTCTACTCCCCGAGCCCGGCCCGGGGCCAGGCTCGACTTGTGATAACTTGGTCCAACAGGCTGTTGCTTGGCACGGCTCGCAGACCCACATATCCACTTCACCCTGGTTGGTCCGGCACTTCTTGCAAGAACTTATTTAAGTGCCTCTTGAAGACTTCCACCTTCGTTCCGGCAATATTTCTAATGCTTGCTGGGAGGGTGTTGAACAGCCATGGACTTCTGATGTACAGTGTTCTCTGATTGTATCTATGGCACGTCAACTCCTCACTGGTTCTCTTTTGCATTTCCTTCCGTATCTTTCGCTCCAGCATATTGTTATTCTACTGTGCAAATTTGGGACCTGGCCTTCCCGTATCTTCCATGATACGGGAAGGCCTTCCAGATTCCATGTATATATTATTTGATACCTCTCTCGTGTCCTCTCCAGAGAATACATTCTTAAAGCTCAGTGACGGTCCCAATAATGTAGATGTTTTATCGTGTCTATGCGTGCCGTATATGTTCTCTGTCTTCCCTCTAATTCAAAGATCTCTCTCCTGCTCTGAAGGGGGAAGTGAGTACCGAGCAGTACTCAAGACGGGACAACACCAGTGACGGATGTGGTCACTATTCCACCTGAGGGATTTGGTCAGGTGGAGTCGCTCTGAGAGATGTGGTCACTACTCACAGGGATGTGGTCACTACTCAGAGGGATGTGGTCACTACTCAGAGGGATGTGGTCACTACTCAGAGGGATGTGGTCACTACTCACAGGGATGTGGTCACTACTCACAGGGATGTGGTCACAGGGCGCCACAGTCTGGTGCAACAACTGGTGGTCCCTAGCAAAATGTGGACATTATTTGCATTTTTGTATGTGTTATTAATAATAAAACAAAAATAATAATCTAAGAAATTCTTATACTCTGAATGTTTTATATTATTTGTGTATTCAGAGGGATGTGGTCACTACTCACAGGGATGTGGTCACTACTCACAGGGATGTGGTCACTACTCACAGGGATGGTATGTAACTGTGTATTTACTCTGAATGTTTTATATTATTTGTGTATTGTATGTAACTGTGTATTGTTTTAATTGTTACAATTAATGGCATCAAATAGTTTGACTTTAATAACTATCATTTCTTGTTTGGTTTCAGATTCGAATGCAGTAAACCCATAACGAGTGAAAAAATGCAATGGAATATTTTGTTTTTCTTTAGTATTTTCTTTAGAATATATTCTTTAGTAGTACAAGAGATAATATAACTAATGATAATAACAACAATAATAATATGTTACATACACAGAAATCACAATAGCGTGATGTATCAAATTCTCTTTTGACCATGTCGTAGCTCAGTCGATTAAGGCAGCGTCTGGGATGCTCTCGGACGCAGGTTCGAATCCTCGTCACGGCCTTTGTGGATTTGTTCAATAGTAAATATGTGTACTGGACTTAACCGTGAGCTGACCAATGGTTCATAGCCTCCACAGTCCTCGTCAGCCACCATTAACAACCCAACTGGAGGCGGACAGGGGAAAAAACTCAGAATATCAAGACAATAGGATTCGAACTACTTGAAATTTGGATATATTCCAGAGCGTGTTAGTGAGGTGCGTCATCCCCGGCCCCTGTGTGTTGTGTTGTGAGAGTTTACCCCACGATGCCTCCACACCTTCCTCACTCGCACCACACTGCCAATCATAACACCCGGATTTAGCAAGGAACCCACTTGAATATTTGTAAACAATGAGTGAAAATATGCAAAGCAAGTAATTGCTTTAACAAAAAAGGACTGTTGGAAACAAGTCCTTATCAGTGGTCCGCGGGATTTAAATTAGTGGTCCGGGGGATTTCAAATTATGAATTTAGTGGTCCGTGAGGTTCGAAATGTTTGGCGACCGTTGGTCTAGTGGAGGCTTGTGTGACGTCAGTGGCCGGCGTCAACGCCCCACTTATGTCGCGTCAAGAGGAATGATGTCACTCACTCTCAGGCACCACCGACTGACATCACCTGTACCTGGATTGTACCTGGAGTGGGTTTTAGGAGTTCTACTGGCCTGGCTTGTATAGGAGCTTCGTCCAATACAGTTGGTAATGGCGGCCCTACAGGCCAACATATCCACTACAGCCCGGTTGGTCCGCCACTTCTTACAGGAAACTGTCTAATTTTTTTCTTGCAGATTTACGCTTTTGTTGCGGCAATATTACTTATACTTGCTGGGAGGATGATAAATAGCCTGTGATGTTCCCGGTGCTCTCTGGTTGTGAGGCAGCCATGACAGCGTGGGTGTTGTGAGGCAGCCATGACAGCGTGGGTGTTGTGAGGCAGCCATGACAGCGTGGGTGTTGTGAGGCAGCCATGACAGCGTGGGTGTTGTGAGGCAGCCATGACAGCGTGGGTGTTGTGAGGCAGCCATGACAGCGTGGGTGTTGTGAGGCAGCCATGACAGCGTGGGTGTTGTGAGGCAGCCATGACAGCGTGGGTGTTGTGAGGCAGCCATGACAGCGTGGGTGTTGTGAGGCAGCCATGACAGCGTGGGTGTTGTAAGGCAGCCATGACAGCGTGGGTGTTGCGACACAACCTCTTCAACACCCTCCCAGCAAGCGTGACACGTATTGCCGGAACAAAGGTGGAGGTCTTCAAGAAACGTTTAGACAAGTTCTTGCAAGAAGTGCTGGAACAACCGGGTTGTAGTGGATATGTGAGGGCCTGCGGGACGCTCCAAGCAACAGCCTGTTGGACCAAGTTATCACAAGTCAAGTCTGGCCTCGGGCCGGGCTAGGGGAGTAGAACAACTCCCGGAACCCTCTCCAGGTATGCTCCAGGTATAACCACTAAGATGTCTCCTTGAACTGAGCTCACTACATTTTATACGCTGTCGACCCCGGTGTAAAAATTACGGTGGTTTAGGGAAATAAAAAACTCCGCAATATTTACGCTTTATATTCCGTAATATATTAAGCTGCAACATACTTTTGTACATCTTTTTTTTAATCCTGGTGGTATATTTACCTTTATTAAAAGAGTCTACGAGGTTGGAAACTTTACAACCCAAGGTTATTATTGGTATTAAGAAGCTCGCAGCGTGTCAGAGCTCATTAACTGTTTAATAAGTGTAAACAAACTGCCATGATTGAGGAAAGATGTACAGGTTTCGTTAAGTGGTTGTATGAACGCTTGATTAACCCCTGACTCTGTTCTTCAACGGTTCCACATGTGTCTGTGGGTTAATTAGCCTTAATGTCCACAGCTTGGACCACTGAGGTCAGTCGGACAGTATATCATTACTAACCACAAGTGCTCAGTTTGTTAAGATATGTCCATGGCCGTCACGGGACAAGTTGTCACTGTGGCCGTGGCCAGATGTTGTCCCTGGTCAGTGTGTGACAATGTTCACACAGTGTCACACACAGTGTCACACACAGGTTAGCAGTGTTGCTCCCCCGTCCTCTCATGTTGCCAGGGTCCTTCAGGCACGCAGGCCGTCTTTACCACGGCAGTACCTTGTTACTGAAGACTTGGGGTGGTGGTGGTAGTGGTAGTCTGATGTTGGCTTGAACAGAAGCATGGTGATGGTGGTAGTGTGTACAGGCAGACAGGGAGGGAGGCAGACAGGGAGAGAGGCAGACAGGGAGGGAGGCATACAGGGAGAGAGGCAGACAGGGAGGGAAACAGACAGGGAGAGAGGCAGACAGGGAGAGAGGCAGACAGGGAGGGAAACAGACAGGGAGAGAGGCAGACAGGGAGAGAGGCAGACAGGGAGAGAGGCAGACAGGGAGGGAAACAGACAGGGAGAGAGGCAGACAGGGAGAGAGGCAGACAGGGAAGGAGGCAGACAGGGAGGCAGGCAGACAGGGAGAGAGAGGCAGACAGGGAGAGAGGCAGGCAGCTTACACCACAGGTGGAGTGGGCAACCAGCCAAGGAATGTATGTGGTTGACAACACCTGGTTACTCGTCTGTAAGAATAGTTCCGCCTCCTTGTCACTTGTGTGCTTCATGTGTGTGTGTATAGACACTTATTTAAATAGAGAACCTTGACGTAATGTTAGCAGGTATATCATTCATAGCTGAGGTAGTGAGACCTGGTGGAGGTGGCGAGGCGTGTCTGTGGCTGAGTAGCATGATCATCAGATCATCACACACACACCAGGCCACTCCAGGCCACACCATGTCACACTCTGGGGTGACGGAGGTTAGACATAAGCCAGTATATACAGCGACAAGTATCCTGGTTATCGGTGAGGCGGCTGTCAATAGTTGTGTCACGTGATATCATGTCAACAACCAGAGAGACGAATGTTGTGTCATAAATATTTGTTTAGTTGTCAAACGGATCAAGTGTCTGTCAAGTCTAATTTTAAAGCTAGCTCTATCCCTTGCCTGGATGATGTGGGTGGGGCAAGGTGATCCACCAGGCTGTTGCCACACCGATACTTCCCCGCGTCCTGCCTCTCTCTCTCTACTTCTCCATCTTATAGCCATTGTTACGAGTCGTGATCTGATCCCATAGTTCCGTCATCTTGCTCATACGTCTCCTGCTGATACCTCGCGTCCACTTGAAGACCTGCATCATTCCTCCCCTCGCCCTGTGTATCTCTCCCCTCACCCTGTGTCTCTCTCCCCTCACCCTGTGTGTTTCTCCCCTCGCCCTGTGTGTCTCTCCCCTCGCCCTGTGTCTCTCCCCTCGCCCTGTCTCTCTCCCCTCGCCCTGTGTCTCTCTCCCCTCTCCCTGTGTCTCTCCCCTCACCCTGTGTGTCTCTCCCCTCGCCCTGTGTGTCTCTCCCCTCGCCCTGTGTCTCTCCCCTCGCCCTGTGTCTCTCCCCTCGCCCTGTGTCTCTCTCCCCTCGCCCTGTGTCTCTCCCCTCGCCCTGTGTCTCTCTCCCCTCGCCCTGTGTCTCTCCCCTCGCCCTGTGTCTC